GACTAGATGGTCGAGTAGACTTACAGTCAAGTCGGATTTGATAGCTGGGTCGACTGATCTCGCTCTTCAAGTCATCCTTGGAGATAAGGAGTCGACGATTCGTCGGAGTTGAGTCTTGTAGTTGGGCCCAGGTTGCCGAGCTGGATAATGCCTTTATCGGATCTGGGCCACCAAGCTGGATGGGGCTATGCAGTTAGAGCTAGGACTTGCACTACTTCACAAATTTGTATCTCAGGCGATTGACACCGTAACAGATATGATCTACAACTACATTATTATTACTCGCATTATCTAGTGAAAAAAATATTTTTTCTTAAATTCCTAATTTTGTAAGTTCTTCTATTATTAAATTTGTAATATTACTACCACTGTGTGAATCTTCAAATGCAATAAAAGAAATAATTCTTTTAAACATTTGTCAATTATCATCAATCCAGTGTATTGTGGTACATAAATAACCAGTTTGTGTTCTAGATGTCTAAATATTAGAAGTTAAAGAAAATTTATAGTTTAAATTTTAAAAATAAGAAATTATTTTTGCTTGTTCCTCATGATAATATTTTAAAATATCATGTTGACAAGATTGACGAGAATTATCAGTCGACTGATTCAGCTCATCAGTCGACCGACGCCTGTAACGGCTAATTTTGTACAATTTCCAGATTTCTTAATTTTTGAATGTTTTTGTATGTTTCTTTGGGGTTTGGCTGTTCTCTTGAATGCTTATAAATACCCATCAACCCCATTCACTTTAGTAACTAAGCAAGCATTTAAAATCTCTTGAGTTTGTTGTTTATTGTTTAAAAGAGCTTCAACTTTCATTTGTTTTCACACTTACAAACTCCACATCCCAAGCTTCAAACTACAATCTCTTCAACTTGCCATAGGGTTGTTGTAAGAGAGCTTCTTTTCTTTCATTTGTAACGTGTGGAGAGCTTGATCTCGTGAAGATCTACTGTGTAGTTGTGAGATCTCAAGAGGAGATCGCTGTGTAGAAGTTCAGGCTTCCAAACCAGGTTGTGATAGTGAAATTCTCCTCAAGAGTGGGGAACGGGGACGTAGGTTGGTGGACCGAATCTCGTGAATATATCGCGTGTCACAATTGGCTAACTATTTCCTAACTCATCTCCTTTATATTATTTTAGTATTTTATTTTGTGTTGTATTGCATTGTCTTATTTTTAGTTGCATATTTATTACCTCATAACCCTATTCACCCCCTCCCCCCTCTAGGATCCAACAAGAACAACCCGTGAGAGGCCGGGGACCGTTTCCCCCATGGTACCTCCGACGGTCAGGTTAGTTGGTGATCTTGAGTGGGGTTTAAAGGAAGGTCTAAGAGCTAATGGGGGCTCTTGTGTGGAGATTTAGAACTTGGGAGTTCTAGTGCGCTCATGTATGTAGATGCTAGAGAGTTTCCCTTCTGGTATAGAATTCTCTTTATTATTTAGTTAGGTTCATGAGATCATCCTTTTTCAGCCTCTCTACAGTTTAGGGATATACCTATATATATAGAGGTTACGAGGACAGGTTGGTCATTTGGGCCATGCAAGGTGGCGATGACAAGGTGGGGGGATGATGAGCTTGGTCATCCCCCGCTTAACAAGTGTCGGCTAGCGACTGGAGGGGAAGTCCTTCCGGCGGTGGGAGAAGAGCCTCCGCAATTTTTAGGATGTGACCGTTGTGACGGTTGTAGGTAGTGTTGCTGAAGCGTCTTCCGTTTGCCAAGTGTTGGCTGGTGATTAGAGGAGAAGTTGCTCTGGCTATGGGATGTGGGCCTCTGTAATTTTCGGGAAGTGACTAGTCATAGCCCACGTGTTGCGTCAGGCTACAGGGCCGCATGTGGAGCGGTGATGGGATTTGTCAACGTTGATTGTAGCGCCTATGTATATCCGAAGGAGCTCTGGTTGATCTTATCCTCTTATCAGGGAAGTGTTAATCTTTGAGTTGTCCTTGAAGTTCGTTGACTAGATGGTCGAGTAGACTTACAGTCAAGTCGGATTTGATAGCTGGGTCGACTGATCTCGCTCTTCAAGTCATCCTTGGAGATAAGGAGTCGACGATTCGTCGGAGTTGAGTCTTGTAGTTGGGCCCAGGTTGCCGAGCTGGATAATGCCTTTATCGGATCTGGGCCACCAAGCTGGATGGGGCTATGCAGTTAGAGCTAGGACTTGCACTACTTCACAAATTTGTATCTCAGGCGATTGACACCGTAACAGATATGATCTACAACTACATTATTATTACTCGCATTATCTAGTGAAAAAAATATTTTTTCTTAAATTCCTAATTTTGTAAGTTCTTCTATTATTAAATTTGTAATATTACTACCACTGTGTGAATCTTCAAATGCAATAAAAGAAATAATTCTTTTAAACATTTGTCAATTATCATCAATCCAGTGTATTGTGGTACATAAATAACCAGTTTGTGTTCTAGATGTCTAAATATTAGAAGTTAAAGAAAATTTATAGTTTAAATTTTAAAAATAAGAAATTATTTTTGCTTGTTCCTCATGATAATATTTTAAAATATCATGTTGACAAGATTGACGAGAATTATTTTTAAATGCGGGATAAAAACCATCTGTAGTCATATTATTTTTAAATTCATCATCTTCTACTAATTTAAAAGTAAGGTTTTTAAGAAAGATAAACTTGATGACGCATTTACTAGAAACTTGATGACGCATTTACTAGCTTTAATTGCGTCATAGTTTTAATTATCGAGACTACCGGAGGATGATGATTGTGAGAGTAAAGATTGTCGGATATCACCTTGAGGTGTTGTCTGACCTCTGTTGTGCTTTTCTAAATGGCGTTTGAGGTGGTTGGTGTCGCTTTTATGATGATCTTGAAAAATATTGCGGCACAACGTACACTTAGCCTTCTGGATGAGAAGTCTACCGTGTTGATCCCTGGTAAGAGGAGTAATTGTAGCTCCTGTAGTAGGAGTATTAGGACTCATTTCAAAATCGAAAAGTTGGATTTTTCCCTTCATAATCGGAGGAGGATACCATTTGATTGAAGAATTAGAGAGTAAAAGTGAGAATAAGAAAGTATTAGAGAGAAATAGATGAGTTTTGGATGAGAAAAATAAATGAAAACTCCTTCTATTTATAGAGGCAACCTCCTAGCCAAATGATCAAAATACCCTCAAATTTTGACCGTTTTTAAGAAATTTTGATTTAAAGCCAAAAAATGATCGTTATGACCTTTCACAGACCGCGCAATGCCCAAGCCCGCCACAACCAGTCACTTTCGTGGCCTGTGTGGCCGGCCCGAACGGCTCGACGCACGTCACGAAAGTGACTGTTGTAACCGGGCCAGGCCGCGGCTGCCCCCTCAACGAATCTGTAGACAGTTGCAGTCGCGGCTAGGCCCGGGCCGCCCGGTCAGCCTGGCCAAACGATCATTTTCGTGATTGTCTAGACCGTTGGCTCGCGGCCATTTTGGCCAGGCCTATTTTTTGCCGAGTCAGGCCCAAGTCCGGCGTCAGCATGCCCGAACCCGAGCTATAATTCAAATTCCCGGCCACTGCGCCCGACCTTTTTGCTAGCTGGGCCGTGGTCGCGCCGAATAGCGGGCCATCGGCGAGGCAACCCTAGCCCGAGCCGGAGCCCGGCCCGGCCTCGGATTTCTTAGGCCATGATTCGGGCCCGCAAGGTTAGCTCTCCCGCTCGCCGCCCTGCATCGACCGGGCCGGGCTCGGACCTTGGGCCCAAATGGACACCCCAATCTATCACTTGATTTGTATTTGCAACAAAAGTCCAAAGTATAAAGTCGCGTGCCGCATTGTTGAGTATTATTGTGCAACTCCCGTTAGAATGTTTATGACGACTGGACCGTAACTTAAGATAATGGCCCCTGTACGTGCCTTTCTGTTTGGTGATCGTGGCGAGCAGGTATAAATTTGAAATGAACATGCATAAAATGGCTAATTTCTTTAGTTTGAAAGTGGCTGCTACTCTCTTTGTTCGCAAGCTCTTTTTGATAATCAACAACTGTGGAGTCAATGCTTGTCATTGTACGCTTAATTCAAACCATTAATTATATACTTTTTCTAACTTAAAAGTAAAACCTCAAATTCATTGTTCATATTGGCTCTGTTTGGCAAAACTAGCTGAAAGCTGCGAGATTATAGCTGAAAGCTGTCACAAGCTAGCTGAAAGCTGTGAAATTATAGCTGAAAACTGATAGCTGTGTAGCTAGCTGATTGACTAGAGCTGTTTGGCAAAAAAAGCTATATAACTAGCTTAAATTTGTTAAATGACTAAAAAGGTCATGCAATATTATTAATATAAAATTAAAATTATTAGGGGCAAAAACGGAAGAAAAAAATTGACAGCTCCTTCCCAAAGACAAACGCTACTTGAGATAGCTTTCCAAAAGCTACTTGCAAAAGACACAATCTCCAAAATAATCTTCTCCTATTTTTTGTCACCAAACAGCTCTACTAGCTTATTGACCAAGTCAATAAGACACAAGCTCTTAGATAAGACACTTTTTTCGGTTGCCAAAGAGTGTCATTATAGTATGATACATGATATTAAATTCACTGTTTATATTACAACTTTATTTTTCACCCATAGATCTACTGTTTGCGATGTATGTTTTTTATCATAAAGACTATCAATAATACCTACAACAAAGCACATGCCTACTACTAGTGACCACAATGACAACAATACAGATGAATATGCTCATACTTGAGATTGAGAACATGATGTAGAAGAATGAGCTCAATGTCATCACGTTTGAAAATCAATTGACAGGAGAGATAAATCTTGACAACTAACATGAAATAGTCAAGAATCATCATTCATAGAAAACGCCTATCCATCACGTCGAAGTATTTGAATATAAGGACTCTTTGATTCACTTTTGCAAGGGCAAACTAGAACATGAACTAGTCAGGAAGAAGAAAATCTACGTTTACCTCCCCCGGACAGTAATCTTCTTTAAAAATATCAATAATTCAAAAAATTATACAGTGAAAACAAAAGACAGAAGAAAATTTTAACTCACTGAGATAATTAAGAGCATATCAATAACATTATAACTAAATATCAGAGAGGATGAGGGTTATAGGTCATTGAAGGGGAGGAAGGCTACCGCCTAAGAACCAGACCAAAATCCCCTGAAAAACAACACGCTTTAATGAATAGACTCTAACTATAACAAAAATTTTAGCTTAAAACGTTATCAGTTGCAGAAAGTATCGTACAGAAAAGCACAAAATTCCCACATGTAAAGAGGGGCTTGTAAGAGGGCGCCAGCTCAAGTTCAAGGGCTATCTATCTTCCTCTTCTTTGGTTGGTCATCTTCTTTCGTCGTACTTTTCATCTTAGCTTCACGGCGCTCTCTCTTCAATCCCTTTACTTTGTGTGATAAAGGCATATCTCCAACCTGAACAATTAGATCAAATTCATTAGAGAACCAAAAAGAAGCAATGAGAATTGTAACTGCTAACAATATCCTATTCACGGGCAGTGATTTTAATAACATGAAGACAAAGACAGACACGCCTACCATGAGAGAATGTTGAGGAAATTTGACAGTCAAAATATATAATGAAAAATATAAAAAAATCAATCTAATATATAATAATAATGTGAAAGTAATATTCGCATTAAGACACGAAATAAAACAAACATAACCACTAGAAATAATATGATTGGCAACAGAACACGATTGGCAAATTTCAATAAAAGTCGCATTCTGCAGGTTTAGACATGCTGCCATAAACTAGTGAGCTTGTGCTAACTACTGGCTAGTTTAGAAATAACCTGCTATTTCCACAGTTGATGGCTAAAAACATTTACAGATGATGATTTAAAAAGTAGATTGAGCTTGACAATTAGGAGAGTATTGTTACTGTATCGCATCAAAAAGAAAAGAAGAAAGTATTGAGATTCACCTGCTGGTCTGGCATGTAAATCTTCCCGATTTTACCTTGCACTGCATCACTTTTTACATTTTTCATCTGCCAGAAGAAACGGAAATAATCAGCTTATCACACGCTAAAAGACAATGTGGGGGTCCCAACAATAAAATGTCCAGTTTGATTAGTAACAAAAACCTTCTTCTTTGGCTGATGAGCGACAGTCTTCATTGCTTCTTTCTTTAGGCTGTCATTGGGAAGACGATGCCTCCGAACTACAAAGTCCATGGAAGGTCCAACCTCTACTAATTCCATTCTAGGAATAGATGTTCCTGACCTTTTAAGCCTGAGAGCACAATGCGTGAATAATACTGTAGTTGAAGAGATGGCTGTGCAAACAAATACACGGTCTATCCCAGCAAGGTTCAAACTTTCCACGACCTACATGCCATTAAGCATTTTCACATAATTTGACAGATTTCGGTAAAATCAAGTCCATGCAATATAAAATGATGATACTAACCTCTCCTCTAAATATATCAAGCAGCACTTCCTTCAAGTGCATTAGTTCTTCCACACTTTCAAAACCTTCACCTATGAAAGCAAATAATGGTTTTGTTCCAGCTTTTGGTGCTAGTTTCTTGTCATAGGTGAAAGATTCTAATGGCTTGAAGTTTTCAACTCCAACCTCAACAAGATCATAAACATGGTGATCATACATACGTCCAAGGACTAGGTTGTGGGGCCGCTTCTTAGAATGGGAACCAAACTGCATAAACCAAATCAAATTTACTACTTAAACAAAATGGAATATGGAAGAGACATTTTTGCATGACCAGCAGTTTTTTCCACTCTCACAGGTAAATAACATGATATGCAACCTCACGAAGGGTAATAACTACATGTGCATGTGATCATAGACGAATTAAGCATTGCAGCACATGTAAAAGAAGCAAATGATAACTCAAGCAGAAAGATAAAAGAAAAACAGAGGAAAAACAACTTCAAGATATGATAAAGTTGTTTCCTAGTAGATAAACAGATTTTACAGCTGCAGTCAAATTGTAGAGAACCTTGATTGCACCTTCCAAAAGAATACTTAGGGGACCTCCAACAATTTAAATAATGATTATTACAGCAGTATACAGACCATGCTCCATACCACTACCTGGTTGATAGAAGAGGGTGCATTAAATAGTTTAATAATTTTAACCACAAGACTCTGTAAAAGGATTTCTCTTCAGATTAAATTTAGTTCCATGCCAACCAGACCTTCAGTTGACGTCTAGTAAGTGGTATAAGAGCACATAGTTCATTTGGACCTCTAAATACATATGGAGAACTAATCATGACTGAGTTTGATCTGTAGAAAGGAAGGGGCTAAAACTAATCTGACCGCACGAGGAAGGGACAAAACTAAAACAGCCATCCTACCAAGATGCATAGATATTAGTTAAGCAAGACCACACAATGTCACATTGTATATCATACACAAAAAGTAGAAAATAGCCTAATGCCTGAATGTCTTAGATCTTCAAATAGAAGATTTTCTTCGTGGAGGTAAGTTGTAAGTGACCTGGATTGTGGTTTGTGAGTAATTTAATAATGGTAATACCTTGACCATCTATTATGTTCATTTGTATAGGTATTGTATCTATGCAAATCAAACTAGAATACGATCCAACAATTCATGTTTGGATCCGTTTTTGAAAGAGTCAAATGAATGAGATGAATATTGAATTTTCTTTGAACTTCTTATCCCAAAAAAGAGGACAAACAAATAGCTAATTAAAATGGACCTATTATTGGAGATAGAAGGACTTGAACCCTCACGACATCAAAAGTCTTTCCTTCTATTATAAATTCCATGCTCAACCAACATTGTTGTTGAACATTTGGTAAGAGATAGGAAGTGTGGAATTAGTTCTGTATCTAGTCTGGATATAAAAGATTCATGGCAAATATACATTTGATCAGAAGACTCCAGTAAGGCGTCTCTGCTTCTAAATCAACTTGGATTAGAGCCACAAATCAATCTACCTATACATCAGACTTGGACCATTGGCGAATTTCTAGCATGCTCAAGTTCAAAAGATCCCAAGTAATTTTGAAGTTTGGAGGCAAAGAAGACTTCATCTGAAATAATAGATGTTTGAGATATTAATATTTTTTGAAGGAAGCATATTTCAGAAAGTTTAATGAATAGTCTAGAAAGTTTTGGACAGAAATATTGATAAATTTATGAGATGGTTATTAATTTCATCACAACATGAAGTGTAATATTTTATTTGTAATGAATTAAGTAATTTAAGTGTTCAACATAATTTTGAGGACAGGTCTGATGTAAAATTTATCATTTTAAGATTTATGATGAGAATTACAAAAGAAAGCTCTAGTAGATGGTCTAAAAACCCCTGAACTTTACCTTTCTCTTCCTTGAAGTCTCCTACTTTCTTTTTTTGACAAATACGCCCCTAGATTTTATCTCTCTTGTACAAAGCTCCAACTTTCTTCTTTTACAATGAAGCCCCTAAGTTTCACTCCTCTTTTCTAAGAAGCCCCCACCTCTTCTTGTTAACTTAAAGGTTTCAATGTCAAAAAAAGTTTGGGGTTTTTAGCAAAGAGACGGTAAAAGTTAGGGGCTTCATTGTAAAAAATTGAGGGCTCCTTAGAGGAGGGGTAAAAGTTAGGGACTTCTTTGTCCAAAAAAAAGAAAGAATTTGGAGGCTTATTGGAAAATAGGTGTAAAAGTTTGGGGCTGTTTAGATTATCTTCTCAAAAAAGTCCTTCCAACCTAGGGAGATGATCTACTAATGTAGGCATCCAATGGAAACAAATGCTGGCTAGAAAAGTGAAACTTCTAATTGAAAGACTTGTCCTAATGCTTATGAAACAAGTGCTTCATACACTCAGGAAGAGAAGTCACTGTTGACCATTTGGAAGTTTAAGCACCTAAATTGCATCCACCACTAAAAGTTGCATCCTTGGGAATAAAGCTACTACCTTTGTCACAAAAGTACCACAAAGTCATCTCAACCGTTACAATCTTCAATCTCACAAGCAAGAACGGATGCCCACACAAACAAAAGCAGAAAGCACATGCAGACATACTATAATTTCAGATTCCACTGTACTGGAAAAGGCTTGGAGACAATTGTCTGACCTTGCCTTTACCAAAAGAAATCCACATGCACAACATGTTCCCAAAATCTAATGATGTAGTTTGTCAATGCCAACCACGAGCTTTCCCGAGCACTGAGCACTGCCTTCTTCGCAGCCACCTCTAGACCCATCTTACTGACATGCTACTACATTAACAAATTTTCCTATTTACCAAGTCTACTACATCTGATCCATATAGTACCTCTTATTTCCAGTCAGTTTCAAATGAATGCAACATTTTTTATTGAAGTATTAGCCTAGACATGCTACGCTACATGTTTTTCTTCTTAGAATGTCTATACTTTTGGACGTATGATTTCATAGTAAAAGTTTTTTTAAATTTCTTCCATGTGATGAAGTACTGAAAATACAAAAGGGTAGCAACAAATTGACATTAACTTTCTTTTAACTAGTGTAAAAATAATGAATTAGGACCTCACTTTCTAATTTGATAAGTGAACTTATTTATCATCACATCTTTTATATATCAGAATTCATAACCATGTTGCTTGGTTAGTTTGACATATGCATAAAAATAGTTTTGTTTTCGTATGCGCCTTGCTTCACCGAGGCACGCACGTTGCCTTGTGCATTGTGCATGGTGCACATAAGAGGGCTTTGCGCCCAACACTGCGCCTTGCGTCCTGATAATATTGTTTCTAGTCCTTCTAGCTTATAGTAGTCCTTGATTCTCTCCTCGCTGTGATAAGCCAGTGCAGCAGATGATTGGCTTAGTATTTCTCTAAAAGATATCTAGCATACACCCTAAAATGTGACTTCTTTAGCACATGAACCATATTAATAAAGTAGCCAGATAATGATGAACCAAAAGCAACTCATGTACACTCCTTGCTCATCTAGTACACTGTAACAGTCATGCAGTTAGTCACAAACTATAAGTTATTTTGAGAGCAGGGTGTTACGTCATTTAGCATATGAAACTCATCATCTGAACATTCGCCATCAGAAAGAAACAATCATTCTCTTACATAAAGCACAAAAAACCTCTTTTTATATATCATATTTTTCAAGAAACCATAATATAATAATTCACCAAAAAATTCACTCATCCATGCGTGCCAATGAATTGTTAACTTGCCAAAGGACTTCTCTTCTTTAGACAAGTTCATCATGGTATCAGTGAGGGAATTATTCTTAGATGAGGATATTTTTCTGGAACTTATTAGATGAGAGGTTTCTCAAGAAACAAGGTATAACTGAAAGAGATTTCTAGTAATTTGTCCATTATAATTAAGCTTTATATAGCAAGTTCTAACAAGAACTCTACTTCTCTTAAGAAAGAGCACCATGTCAGTAAGTTTGGTGTCAAACAAATCACAACAGTAACCAAATAATAAATGTGAAAACTAAAATAAAGGATGGTATTGCCTCATTTGTAGGTATTTAGAAGGATTATTCACAAAAGTAATGTCCTGGAGGCTGGAGATGAAATTTTTTTTATTGAGAAAGTTAATCAGAAGATTGTTGAGAAATTTCAGAAACTCAAAGGGAACTAACAGTGACAAACAAATAGTCAAATAGCAACCAGAATACATTCAAGTCCATGGCAGCTGATCATCAGTTGACAACTTGACATGTATATTTAACAGACAAATTCACAGCTCTAACCATATACCACATGATAAGATAATATGATGCAGAACAGCAGAAGAAAGGGGGAGAAAACTTCAAACAACTAGAAACACTTTCAACTCATCAATTTTGCTTACCACAAAAAGGCTACAGTCAGTTTTGACGGAAAAGAACTCGAGTGATGCTTCACCTCCACTCTCAAAAAGTCGAATATTCTCATTCTTCTTGGTATATCTTATAGCATTGTCCCTCTTCAAATGAAAAAACTGAGCCAAAACTGCATTCAGCACATCACTGGTCTTCGTACCATGCAGAAATAAAGTTTTCTTGCCATTCTCAACCTGAATCAAAGCAGGGAAGGGGGGAAAAAATCTAACCTTTATCGAACCTCAGCCCCTAATTTGAAAACATATTTAACAAAAATCAGCTGGAAATCATCTGGCTTACGAGTTTAGGGGCACGCTTCTCGAGCTCCCTTTTGGCTTTGTGCGTCTTGGGGGTCTTTATCCTCAACATTATGAAGCTGCGATCACAAGCTCAGTTGAGATAAACTACCGATAAGAGCTTTTTTTTCCCCTCTCAGAGATTCTGAAGTAAACTATCCGTTTCCTTCAATAAGTCACAAAAAAAAAACACAAGAAAGTAGAGACCCGACCTTAATTCCCGCGCTGCAAAGTCCCCGGGCGGCGTCGTGTGGTCGCACCGAGGCTGGCCGAGCAAAATGGAGTTCTTTTATATTGAAAGCCGCTGATGGAATCGAGATCAGAGAGGGGTTGAGAAAGGAGTCGACACTAGGGTTTGGGTTATAGTTTTGATGACACACTCGCGGACGGTGCCCGCTTATTAATATAGTAATGGGCCCTTATTGGGCCTTCATACACAAAAGACCACTCAGATCTATGCCTTTCGATTTTACTGGACATTCCTAAACTCACAAGCCCACCGTCAGACTTATGCCTTGGAATCTAAAGCCTTAGTAACAAACCCTAACCCATCTTGACCGTTCAATTCTCTATAAATAGTTGCTACCTTAATTCAGCGTTTTTCTCGCCCTGCCGCCTAATACAAGCTTCTTCACCTCTATTTATGTTTTATTCGGTTCAGGTTTATTGGCGAATTCTTATCAACCCTCTATTCGTTGTATCTGATAGGTTTTCATGGCCACTATTTCCTTTCAACTCATTAACAAAGATTATATTACTAAAAAAATTTATTAATGCTAATGGCAGTTTTTCGAGTGGGGATGATAAGAAATTTTTTGAATACAGTTATCCGTATCTGATAAATAGGATGCTGATACATTTTAATCTGACGCGCTTCTCTTTAATTAATCATCTTGATGTCTGATTTTGAAGGGTTATTGTTATATTTACGCTTCTTTTTCCCCTTATTAATGAAAACAGGTTTACTGATAGTTATTGCCGATGGTGACAAGATTAAGGCTAAAATGCAGGTTAATTCTTGCAAATATGTCGAAACTTTCTTGAACTAGGACAATCTGAGGCAAAATTTTTAATTTAGTTCCAATGAAAATTGTTCAATAAAACAGCTTGATACTTTATCTTAAATACCTTCAATAATTACAAGGGTTTTATATGAAAACCACCTTTACTTTTATCTAAATTTTTACTTATCATATTTAATTTTTTTTTATCAATATCATCTTTACTTGTTAACATATTTGCAATGTCACACATATTGTAGTTATCAACCTAAAAAATAGGTGAAATGACGAAAATACCATCATTTCAAAACACTAATTATTTATTAAAAAATAAAGATTTTTTTAATTTTAGTCACCCAAATCTTTCATGCTCTGATATTACATGTCAAAATCATCATATTTTAAAATTAGCTTCCCAAATCGATACGAGGGGAGGAAGGGAAGATTGAAGGAACGTGAGGCTAGCGTTTGGGGGAGGAGTGGAGGCTTTTTTTTCCCTTAGATTGAAAGGAGAAGAGGAGGATTTGAGGGGAGATTAGGTTAGACTTTGGGAATTGCGAATTGGGTTAGGGTCTGAGAACTTGGGTTAGGAGATACATGGTGTGTGTGTGTGTGTGTGTGTATGTAGAGAGAGAGAGGGGGGTCCTTAAGTTTATAATTAATTAGTACACACGTGCAAAGCATGTATTTTAGAAGGGTGAAATAGTCATTTCGTGTGTTTTTTAGGCTAAAAACTGTAATAGGTGTGACATTGCAAACATGTTGGGAAGTAAATGCGATATTGATAAAAAAAAACATTAAATGGGGTAAGTAGCAATTTGGGTAAAAGTGGTTTTGATGTAAAACCCCTAATCATAATATAATTGTTTTCCTCCAACTATTACAAGCCCCCTCTTCCCTTTCTTCCTCAAACTATTACAAACCTCTTCGTCTGATATTCAAGAAAACTCGACCTACAATTGTTAATTCAGTTGGCATTAGCTCTTCTTCTTAGGGGTTGCTGATTTATGGTTGTCTCTTTTTTGAGCAACAGTCAAAGATTAATGCACTGATAGCTAATAACATTGGGTTTGGTGGTGTTTCCTCCAGCTCAGACCCTTTGCCTTGTCTGTTCATGCTAGTACATTTAATCCTTAGATATCCAACTTAGTTGTACTTCATCATATGTCTGCTAGATAGCATCAATACAACCATCATGTAAGCATGCTTATTTAGATGTTATTGTGTAAGCATGTAAAGCACAATAACAAGCTCTTCTTTATACCAATTACCATGGTATCAAAGCATTCGGTTCAATCCCTCAATCAATCCTAACCCTTCAACCTTAAATCATGAATCAAAACTCCTAACCCAAAACATAGCTATAGAAACATACCATAGTCAGTGATCTCACATCTTGTTGTTGCCATCTTTGGTCCCTATTGACACCACCGCTGATTTCAACTCGTGTCTCTGGATAGCCTCTGACGCTTCAACCTACTCCGGGCTCAGCCTAGAGTAACTCCAAGCTAGCCTCAATCTCAGGCATAAATCTCCAAGACCCTAACGTCGTCTCTCCGAGAACGCATCAACCTACTTAATCTCAGCCTAAAATAATATTTTAACTATTGCTTTTCAACTCATTTGCATAGATTATATTACTACTTTTTTATTAATGTTAATGAAGTTTTTTTAGTGGGGATGATGAGAAATTTTTTGAATACAGTTATCCCTGTCTGATAAATAGGATGTTGATACATTTTAATTTGACACGCTTCTATTTAATCATCTTGATGCCTGATTCTGAAGGGTTATTATTATATTAACGCTTCTTTTTCCCTTATTAACAAAAAGAAGTTTACTGATCGTTATTACCGATGGTGACAAGCTTAAGGCTGAAATGTAGGTTAATTCTTGCAAATATGTCGAAACTTTCTTGAACTAGGACGGTCTAAGGCAAAATTTTCAATTTAGTTCTAATGAAATTTGTTCAATAAAACCGCTTGATATTTTATCTTAGATATCTTCAATAATTACAAAAATTTTTTCATATCAAAATCACCTTTACTTTTACAGTAAAATTGTTACTTATCACTTTTAAATTTTTTTTTGATCAAAACCACATTTACTTGTTAACATACTTGCAATGTCACACATATTATAGTTATTAGCCCAAATAATAGGTGAAATGATGAAAATACCATCATTCCAAAACTCTAATTAATTATTAAAAATAAAGATTTTTTTAATTTTACTCATGCAAATCTTTCATGTTCTGATATTAGATGCCAAAATCATCATATTTTGAAATTACCTCCCCAAATCAATATGAGGGGAGGGAGGGAAGATTGAAGTAATGTGAAGCTAGCGTTTGGGGGAGGATTAGAGGTTTTTTTTTCCCCTTGGATTGGAAGGAGGGAGGAGGATTTGAGGGGAAATGAGGTTAGAGTTTAGGGATTGGGAATTAGGGTAGGGTCTGAGAAGTTAGGTTAGGAGATTCATGGTAAGGTGGCGGGGGTGGGGGGGTAGAGCCCAACCTTCTCCCTTGTCCTCTTCATCCTTAACATCTGAGGCCACTTCTGGTGACTTCTCTACTTATATTTCATATATCCCCTATGATCAGTGGATTTGTATTGATCAACATTTTATGACCTACATTATGAGATTACCTGTTATTCCTATTTGATTCTCTCTCGTAGACATACATCTTCATCTCGTAAGTAGTGACTAGCCCTTAGTCGCATGTTTGTTCAGATTAGTGTTGCTCGTGAGTACCAACTCCATCGGCACTTTAGGATGCTCGTAAGGGAATTGGTTTATCCAAAAACTTTAATGTTTACTATTCAGTTATTAGAAAGAATTACAGATCATGGAAGAACCAGTTCCTAAAATGCACTCTGACTTTGCTATTGCGTTTTAGAAATGATATTATCGTTAGTAGTTATATAACTTTGTCATGCGCCTTTCTTTTGAGTTGAAAGGCCTTTATGGACATATTAATCACTACGCTTCATTCCCCACTCTCATGAGGCAGGTGCTGAGTTCATTTCTAAAGAGTCGCGTCTTCAGATGCTCTCCCCTCTAGCTATTGCAGCTCAATCATCAATACGACTTTGGATACACCCCAACTATTTTTTTCCTATCAAGGTCCTTCTAAAATTGCATTTGATTCCTTTAGGAAACTCTAATGTCATTACTACAAAAAGGCAGCTCATCTTATTGAGTTGCAAGAGACCTCCTCGTCTGATATTCAAGAAAACTCGACCTATGATTGTTGATTCAGCTGACATTAGCCCTTCTCCTAAGGGGCTTGTTGATTTTTGGTCTTCTCTCTTCTAAGAAACTATCAAAGACTAATGTATTGATAGCCAAGAACCTTGGGTTTAGTGGTGTTTCTTCCTGGTTAGATCTCACGGATTTGTTTGCTCATGCTAGTACTTTTAATCCTTAGATATTCAACTTAGGTGCATTTCATCATATGACATTCGATAACTCTGTTCTAACAAATTGTTCATGCACACCCTCTTCATTATGCATCTATATTGCTAATGACACCCCCCTTGTAGTTACTCAATTAGGTGACACAACACCAAGTTTAGATACTATATCTAAACATTAACGTCGAACTACAAATAAACAATCTAAATGGAATCAATAATTAGAAACCCACTGTAGGGTGAATATTTGATTTCCCGAAAAAAGGGGGTTTCGTTTGTATTTATAAGAAAGCTTATTACAAACTAATAATCAAATGATTACAACAGAAGCAGAGGGAAGGCCCTCTTTGTTTTTGTGTGGGGACTTTAGGTGGCTATAGGATGCTTCGCTCGATGCTCGTGTCGAGTCTGCTTCCCTTGGACCGTTCGATCGAGGTTGCTGGAGAGCTTCAGTTCGCAGTAGAAGCTCGACTCGAGGGAGTTCGGGTTTGCTTAGTTCGCCGGCGATCGGAGCTCGGAACTAAACAGTGACGCCGCAATGCAAAGGTTATGCAAAGAGCTTAGCCTCAGCTCTTTTCTCTAAGTTTTGCGACCTCTCTTCCAGCGTGCTGGAAGGGGCTTTTAAATGAAAGAAGGACAGCTTGACTCATCCTTGAATTGTGGGATGTGACCACATCTTCTTCAGAGACGTTTAGCTGCTTCTCAATACCATGAATGGTCATTCCAGGGATTGCGCTTTATGTCCTGTCACCTACGATGGGAAGGCCTATTCTTGTATATGAGGCGACAGCCGTCTGTTATCCGAGTGGACCTGACCGTCATTAATGAACCGCATTTATGAATTCGCAG